TTGCAGCAGTCTGCATAGATTTGGTACCCCTGCTGGTCTAAGAGTGAGACAAACTCATTCAGTTAAAATTCATTCAATTATGTCTGCCACCTTATATATTTATATTAGGGATGCACCGAATATTCGGCCACCGAAAATTATCGGCCGAAAATAGTTAAAAGAAAGCCGAAAGGGTTCGAGCACCGAAAAAATATCACCGAATGTCAGAGAACAGGGTTACTTGGTAAGCTAACGTGTTGTTGTGATGACGTAATCAAAACGCGGCGACAAGCACGGCGCGCGACCATGCTCGCGGCTGGCTCACAGCCAACATGTCTGCGCTTGGAGATATTTAAAAATATCAGAGAAAGAGGCGCGGATTGCGATTTGTAAAACGTGTTCAGCTGACATTTCTCGAGGGGGTGTAACTGCAAAGACTTTCACCACTTCGGGATTACTCCACCACTTGAAATCAAAACACCCGGACAAATATGCGGAGTAAGATCAAATCACAAGCACTGACAGGGAGACTGTTCAGCGCTGCCTCTCATGTGCTTGATGAAAGAGGAACAGACTTATGGCTGATAAAGCAGAGAAGCTACTGTTCATTAAAAAGAACCTCCCACTTTTCCTTAATAAGTAGACAAGGCTGGCTTATCATAAGCTTATCTAGTTCTACATGTCTACTCTATACCCACTTTCCTGAACAATTTTCATTGTGAGTTATAATTCACCATCTCAGGTTATCACTAGGGGGAAATGACAGCAGCACAGTGTTCAATATATTGTACTTTCGGTATCTAAATGATACAATGTTGTTTACATTGCTCATGAGGACAGACCCCCTTATTTGCAGATTCTTGAAATTGTAATTTAATTTGTAATTGATTGTGGATTTTGTATCCAGTTTTCACTTTATGTATCTTTATACAATGTTTACTACTTTGCTTATGAAGACAGACAGCCTTATTTATAGATTCTTGAAATTCAATTGTAATTTCATTTGTAAATAGTTACATTCATGTGGATTTATCCAGTTTGCACATTTGTATGCATGCACTTATAGGTGCATTTGTTGTTGTTGAAGGCCTGGCTGTTACAGTCTTTATTTACACTATTTTGTTGTAGGCCTACTGGACCAGATGTTTATGCAGTTTTAAAGCACCTTGGCTTTGTTCTGAATGCACTTTGTTGTAGTTATCCTGCAGAGAAAAGAAAATGTACTTGACTTGGAATTAATGTACTGTATGCATTCAAAAGTGCTGAATAAATGTTTTATGGACCCATAATAGT